CCTTCTCTCTCTCTCTCTCTCTCTCTCTCACACACACACACACAAGCTTGTTTTCCATGAATGCAAATAAAATCCTAATATTGTATAGAAAAGACAAGTATAATTACTGCCCCAGTCAATGAGATTTGATATTGAATATTCTTTATGTGATATAGTTGTAAAGATTGACTAATGTGTACTTTCTTGCAATTTGAAGACATCATTCATCAGTTTATGCAAGCTTTGTAATTCACATATATTAAGTGACATAGGGAGAAATGTTCCTTTATTCCTAATTTTCAAAATACCATAAATTTTAATAATGGCCATCCATATTACCTGGCTTATATTTCCTTTGTTTCTACTAATTTGTAGATGTGCCATCCAGTCCCTATGGAGTGAAGATTATAGAGCTGTCACAGACCACAGCCAAGGTTTCTTTCAACAAGCCGGACTCCCATGGAGGTGTGCCTATTCATCACTATCAGGTGGATGTCAAAGAAGTGGCATCAGAAACCTGGAAAATAGTACGCTCCCATGGAGTTCAAAGTGAGTCAGTGCTTTCAAATTGTGTTGGTTAATTCAAGCTGACCTTCATTATGCTTGTGTGAGTGGGCTTTTATTTTTCTTCAATATGTCCTTTTTTTTTTAGTAGAGTTGGGAAGACATTTCCACTGTCTTATTCTTCTTGAGAATAACTTGAATAAAGAGTGGGAAACTTTTTATCTTTAACAAAGATGGAAAGTTTCACAAAATCTCCAAAGTTCAATATTGGGGGGAAAGTTAGTATTTAAAAAGTTTGGTGGTGGGAAAAACAACTGCTGACATGTCATATTAGATGCCTGAATATTCTAAAATATGTGCTCGTTTTTCATTTATTAATAAGATTTCTTCCACAAGTAAGTGTACTTTACATGCATTTATGAAACAATCTATAAAAAGTCATCTGTCTACTAAAATTTATTTCAAAATTGTTTTGAAAACTCAAGCTATTACTACTAATTATGGCAGGTGGAGTAATAGAATAAGCTAATTCTGAGAAGTTAAAACAATTTATAGCACTTCTGTTCACTTATATAGAATTTCATCATGTTGTGAAAATGTGGTTTGTTTTCCCATTAAAAGAAGAAACTAAAGTAAGAAATCATAGTAAATTATGAGAGGTGCAGTGTATTGATTGGGATATAGAATTACAAAAGGATAGTAAGGAAAATGATGAGTATATAGTAATATAAAGTATTGGTGAGTATATAGTAATGAAAATTATACTGCCCTTCCTGTGCTGGCCCTGGGCCCTGGCCTGATCCTAATATGTATGGTGTAAGGGTTCTGTAAAAAGCATGAGCTAGCTGTTTGTTCTATGAAGAAAAGCGTGAGCCCTTCTATGAAGGATTGGCTTAGTGGACAATGGAGACAGAACAGATAAAAATCATCCTAGTTTCATCTGTGTTGGCACCTGCTTATTCATTTTTACTGAGAATAATAGGTTTTTGATAGAAATGCCAGAAATATTAATCTGTCTTCAGTCATTTACCACATTCTTCAAGTAATGCCCCCCCCAACATGTCAGCTTTTATAATTTCTTCTAATAATAAGAGGTTTTGGGTAGGTAATGTCTTTGTGCAAATGCTGTGTAGTTTAGGAGAGAAGATAGTGCCCCAAAAGAATGAGCTTCTGAGTTCTAGGATTCCAGTGGAAGCAACCATTACCCTAGATGCAAGAATAATATTTTTAAGAGAGAGAAAACAAAAAAGGGTGAAAAGGGAGAGACAGAAAGAGAGATGAATTATTTCTGACACTACAGAACATTCAAAGTGGGTGCTTGGGCACAACCCTGGAGACAAGTAATGTTAAAGCTGAACATTAGAGAAATTAAACTTGACAGAAGAGTACTGCCACCCCTTACCCCTCCACCCTAGGGAAGAAGGTTAATAGATTCTTCTGAGACTTCTTACAAAGTTGCAAAACCATGAAGAATTTATAATGGCTTTGATCTGACAGAGTTGTTCACGTTCAAAGACCTGATTTTGTTACTCCATATATCCCTATCTCAGAAGCAGATTTCCGTGTTTATAAAACTGATATATAATAAAGAACATTTGTTAATTTACAATGAGAAATCACTGTCTCAGAAATTAGACATTCAGGTATATATGATAAGTATATTCTTTACCTGTGAGTATTTTATGTAGAAAGAAAACGTGTCAGAAACCTGTTTGGTGAATTTTGAGTATCAGTCAGACACCTTACACGAATGACAGTCAGTACACTCAGCCTTGGATAGCTTAAAGCTTGCCAGTGAGATCAGAATACTCATAGTTCTGGTTTCTCTTCCTCTTCCTATGAGAATGCTGATCCCATCATGGGGCTCCACCCTCATGACTTCACTAAGTCTAATTACCTCCCCAAGACCCACCTCTAACTACTATCACATTAGAGGCTAGGGTTTCAACATATGAATGGGGGGTGGGGCGCAATTCAGTTCCTAGTTCCCAAATATTCATTCTATTTTAGTCACTCTGTTAAGAACTGAAAATAAATTAAGTCAATAGATTTTGACTACAAAGTGAAGAATTTGGTAGTATGAATATCCTCTTACGGAGGATGAAGCTGAGGGCAATCCATATAAAGGAGAATACTGGGACTATAAAATTTAGCTTCTTATCTATAAGGTCATGTGGATAAATAATAGTGAAACTAAAATTCAAACCCTGACAGGAAATCAGATTCCAAAGCCAGTACTGTTGACCGTTAGGCACCGTTTTTCCTTTATTCAGTAAAGAGTTGCAAAAGTGGGGTGCCTGGGTGGCTCGGTCAGTTGAGCGTCCGACTCTTGATCTCAGCTCAGGTCATGATCCCAGGGTCATGGATTGAGCCCCACATCGGGATTCAAACTGAGCATGGAGCCTGCTTGAGATTCATTCTCTCTCTCTCTCTCTCTCTCTCTCTCTCTCTCTCTCTCACCCTCTCCTTCTCTCTCTCCCCGCTCTGACCCTCCCCCTGCTCAGGTGCTTTCCTTCTCTCTCTCTCTCTCTCTCTCTCTCTCTCTCTCTCTGTCTCAAATAAACAAACAAAAACAAGTTGTGAAAGTGGAACACAAATTACTTCCCTGTAAAGTATGAGTATAGCCCGTATATATAATTTTAAGTATGTATTTTTTAAAAATTTTAATGTTTATTTTTGGGAGAGAGAGAGACACACAGTGTGAGGGGGGAGGGGCAGAGAGAGAGGAAGACACAGCATCTGAAACAGGCTCCAGGCTCTGAGCTGTCAGCACAAGCCCTAAGTGGGGCCTGAAATCACGAACCATGAGATCATGATCTGAGCCAAAGTCAGACGCTTAACTGACTGAACCACCCAGGCACCCCTAAGTGTGTGTGTTTATATATATATGTGTATATATATGTGTGTGTGTGTGTGTGTGTGTGTATATATATATATACTATATATGTGTGTGTGTATATATATGTGTACATATATACATACATATACTTATATATGTATATATATACACATATATATGTGTATGGTGTAATATGTGTGTGTTTGTTGCAATGTGTTTTAGATAGCTACTGGAAGGGCTTCTATAGAGAACTGAGGGAGTAATTTGCCTACGTTAAATATGAATTAGAAAGCTGAAATATCACTGTCATTTGGAAATTTTTTCTTTGTAAATATTTTTACTTTTTTCTTACGCTGGTTTTGAGATATCTATTTTAATTTGGTGTCTTGAGGTTTAATTACATGTCTTCATGTGGAGTTCTTGTTCTGTTTGAGGTTCATAATGTTCCTCAATCTAAAGATTGATGTCTTTCATCCATCCTGGAAAATGTTATATCATTACATTCTTGAATACGAATATTGTCTTTTCCCTCATTCTCTCTATTCCCTTATTCTGAAAAATCCCAGTTATAAATGCTAAACTTGTTTTTTTTGGAAGTTAGAATACCATATCTCTGTACCTATATTTTATTATGTTTCATTATTTTACCATGTTATTATTCAGTTCTGCCTACCAGTTCACTAATTCTTTGTTCACTTATGTTTAAGCTACCATTAAACCTATTAAGATTTTAATTTAACAATCACATTAAAATTTTTTTTTTTTATGTTTTTATTTTATTTTTGAGAGTGAGGCAGAGCACAGGCAGGGTAGGGGCAGAGAAAGAGGGAGACACAGAATTGAAGCAGGCTCCAGGCTCTGAGCTGCCAGCATAGAGCCCGATGCAGGGTTCGAACTCACGGACTGTGAGATCATGACCTGAGCCAAAGTTGGATGCCCAACCAACTGAGCCACCCAGGCACCGCAACATCACATTTTTAATTTATATAAATTACATTAGTTCGTTGTATGTTTCAACAGTATCTCACTCATGGTGGCTTGTTTAGTAGTATATTTTATGATTTTAAATTGCGATCTCATATTTTGCTGATCTTACTTACTTGTGTCATGCAAGGCCTGGGGTTTGGATGCAGTCTTCCACAGAAAATATCCCTTTACTTTGAACAGCTGCTCTGAAATTTTACAAAGGTGGAAGCATCTTAAATTAATTTCTTGATTTGAGAGTTCCTGTGCTATGAGAGCAGATTTGCAGTTACTAATTTTCAAAGAAGTATTTATCCCACCTCCTTGCCAAGTCAAACAAATTTTTTTAGCTCACACTTTTCCTTTCTTCCAAGAACGTTGACATTCCTAGCTCCATGCAGGGGTCCAAGCCTCAGACCTCCCTCTTTCTTCTCTCCCCCATGAGGACACTGGAATCCAACCTTGTGTACTACAGATCCGTGCAATAGCTCTCATTGTCTGAGTACCAGTTGAGATGTTCCAAAGGACGGCAGTCACTTTACAAAAAAACAATTACATGGATGGTCTTCTAGCTACAGTCTCCCCATCCACATCATTTTTCCTATTTTGGTTTTCCTTCCTTTTCTGTGATCTAACATGTACACCTAAAAAGATTTTTGAAAATGATATGTATAATTGTAACTATATTTAAAAGGCGCTCTTCTGGCTGTATAGGTAACGACATTGTTGAAATTCTGACGTTTTTTTAAAGAACATACATAATTTTGAATAGGGAAGAAATGCTTCTTTTGCAGTTCACGCTAATCATTTTAATGTTTGAGGAAGAATTTTGTGAGCAGAATTATACTCATTGCCTTTGAGGCATTTGTTAGAAGATAGATTTAGATTTATCTCTGAAAAGACAGGGACTATAGTCAACATTTCAGCTACTACTTTTTTCCTTCAGCATAGATTTCTTTCTTTCTTTTAATTTACATGAGTTTAGTTGATGTTCAGTTTTTTTTCCTAGTTCATAAATACCCATAATCCATTATATACTACTCATGTATCTTCGTCTACCTAAAAATAAATATCATCTCTTGCTTGGTTGTGGTGGCATAAGCAAGAAAATTTTAGGAAAAAAAATCTCCTGTTAGTAGATTCTGATTCTAAATAATGCATTAATTAATTTCCTGTGAATTTCACTTGCTTACTCTGCACCTGGTCCAACGTTTAGGGTACAGTTGCTGTCTAGACCAGTTAT